TTCCAAACGTGAGCGTGCTGCCTGTTTCATCATCTGGGCTCATCTGAATGGGCTCACTAGAGATTGGGCCAATTCGAATCAATTTTGCGCGCGACGTGATGAATAATATTTTTTGCTCCAATCGAATCCCTCCGACGTGCCAGACGCCGACCAACTTTTGCCTAAGCGAAAGCTAAAGTATAGTAAAATGACCCCGGCAACGTGCCCCTCAACACGCGTCGAAAGGTCTCAGGCGGGGTGTCTAAACTACCGGATGGCTACGGATAGGTCGTAAGCTATCTCGAGTCATGCATGTGGACTCCCTAGACTCGTGACATCAAAAATTGATTCCAACAAATGGTGTAAGCGGTTTGACTCTTACATGACTCAGATTGGCTGCAAGCGATGTGAGTATGATTGTTGTGTTTATGTGAAGAGCTTTGATGATCGTTCTATTATTTTTTTGTTAATGTATATTGATGATATACTGTTTGCTGCAAAGAATAAGAATGATGTCCATGGTTTGAAAGCTTTATTGAGCCATGAATTTAACATGAAAGACTTGGGTCATACGAAGAAGATTCTTAAAATGAAGATTCATCGGGATAGAGGATCAAGACGATTATGTTTATCTCAACGAGGCTATGTTGAAAAACTGCTGGAAAGGTTTGAGATGAGCAAAGCAAAGTCTGCGAGCACTCCATTGGCAAATCATTTTAAGCTTTCTTCATAACAGTGTCCTAAGACAGATATAGAAATCGATGACATGACAAATGTTCCATATGACAGTGCAGTTGGCTGCTTGATGTATGTAATGATATGTATTTGTTCTGATTTGGCTCATGTTGTTAGTCAAATCTGCAAATACATGTCTAAACCTGGAAGGTGACATTTAGAAACACTCAAATGGATTTTCAGGTATCGGAAGGGTATTGTAGGACAAATTAGTTTTGGCGGTCAGCAAAATGATCCTTCAGTTGTGGGGTACGTTGATTCTGACTATGTATGTGATTTGAATGACAAAAGATCTACAACTAGGTATGTGTTTACTCTTGGTGGAAGTCCTATATGTTGGAAATCAATAATTCAATCTATTGTGGCAATATCTACAACTAAAGCTAAGTACATGATAGTAGCTGAAGCTGCAAAAGAAGCCTTATGGCTTGCTGAGCTAGTAAAAGAACTAGGAGTTGAGCAAGGTGGAGTTCAGTTGCATTGTGACAGTTACAGTGCTATTTATATGGCTAAGAACCAGGTGTACCATGTGAGAACCAAGCACATTGATGTCAGATATCACAAGATTAGAGAATTGTTTGTTTTCAGTAAGATACTGTTGTAGAAGGTTCATACTGATGAAAATGCAGCTGATATGTTGACCAAGACAGTTATTATCAACAAGTTCTTGCATTGCTTGGACTTGCTAAATGTTTGCAGTTGCTAGAGAAGCATGATGGCCCAACCCACTTCAATGTGTAAGAAACTTCATGATGTATTTCTCCCAAGAGGCTGTATATTCTTCAAGGTGGAGATTTGTTGGTATGACTCATATACCATATAGGGACAGATGCTGGGACGAAGCGTAGCAGAGCGGAGAGTAGCTGAAGAGTTTGTCCAAATTGGGTGAGTTTTTTTATTTGGGTTGGGGGTGCGGTACATGGGTAATTAGGTTATTACATATTGTACTTCAGGATTTTCTAGGGTTATAAATAGATTTGTATGTAACCCTAGGTCTTATTCTGTATTTTGTACTTTTTTCAGAATATTGAAGAAAGCTGTCGATTTGCTCCCGAGGACGTAAGCATTTTTGCCGAACATCGTTAAATCTCGGTATTCTTCTTGATTTGTGTCGATTCTAGTTTTTCTTCGCCCTAATTTCTCAACAAGTTTCAACTTTTTGTTTCTTCATTACTAAGAGTTTCGTGAAATAATTATGATATGTAAAAATAATGTATTGATATTTTAACAGCTAAAAATATTTAGACAAGAGATATTTAATGAGACTAATATGACTAATTTTTAGGTTTATATACACCCCTTATTTTTATAAATATTAGGCGCAGATACATAGTTGTGGATTTAATGGTCTTAGAATGATATAGAAATATTATGCGTAGATAAATAACTCCGGATATTTGCGAATTTAATGGTATTAGAGTAATTTCCAGTATAATACCACTCAATAATCGCTCCTATTTTAAGTGTAGCCGCACGCTAGCCCGTTATAAATGCAACATGGCCTTCGAATTCGTTGCACCGAGCGACGACTCAATCAAAGCTAGTGTCATCTTCCCTGCCAACGCCCTAATTATTCCGTGTGGCTGCTTCATTAATTCCCGCAAATGTTTAGCCGCCTTCCGGTGAGCGATAACCTAAGATCACAGAACCTAATAAGCTCTTAATTCCTCGGTGCTAGTCGTCTTCTTCCGCCTCTCCTATACCGTGACAAACTCCCTACATACTCCAATTACAAAGTCACTTACGTCCTAGTAACATCCAAGCCTTCTTCTTTTTCTCATCTCTATGAAATGGAATCCCCAGCAAACACGAGTCCCAACCTCAGAATTCCTTCTCTCTCTGATGAGTGCAGATCAAACTTTTAGAAGTATAAAGGTCCCGGATGCTCAATCCGCTCTTGCAGCCTTCTCTGCGTGAATTCACACAAGAAGTGCACCAGTTGTACGGGCAAACACAGGGTTACTGAATCCGTGCCACTTTCCCAGTTCGACGACAACCTTCTCTTGGTAGGTCCGTTCATTTCATCCTAGTGTAAAATTTTTTATTCAAATTTCTCTCAATTTATACCATTCTTGTTTCTTGTTTTTCATTTTTCATTTTTGTGAAGTGTGTTTGGGAATGATGAGGGACTTGTTACCTCACGTGATATAAAGAACTAGAAACTTAGTGCGCTCTACAAAGCTGATTACTACCCTGTTGTTTTTTTTTCTGTTCAAAATCAAATCTGTTGAAGGCGGCTAAACGTATTTGAGATCCAAAATTCCAATCTTTCTCTTCCCGCCAATCCGATTCTACCCTAAAACCTTGGAGGAAGGTAAATTCAGAACTTGAAGCAGGTCGTCTCGGCGTTAAATCCGCAGCGCCAAGTTAAATCCACATATTCGGAAGATTTTGTAAATCCCGCATTTACGGACGAAATCCGAATATATTTTTTTCCAAAAAGACCATCTGACAAGATTTAGCTTAAATCCAGGTTTATCATCATCTTCCTCAAGAGCCAAGGTTTTGTTTAACGAAAAAATATTACATCAGTACTATACATGTAAAAATAACGTGCGTAGCCAATGAAATCACGCCATGACATCCCATGCGATAGGGAAAAAAAAACGGCGCAGTAACATGGGGTAATATTCTTCTCCGTGTTATTCATGTGTTATTATGTGTTATTCATGTATTAATTATTCATGTGTTATTGTGTTATTCATGTGTTATTGTGTTATTATAACACAGGAATATTCCCCGTGTTACTGCGCTGCTTTTTTCTATGTCGGGAATATTCTCCGTATTATTCAGGTGTTATTGTGTTTTATTTATGTGTTATTGTGCCTTGAGAATATTCTTGGTGTTATAATAACACAATAACACATGAATAACACTAATAACACATGAATAACACGCAATAACACATGAATAATACAGAGGAAAATATTTTCCATGTTACTGTGCTGTTTTTTTTCCCCTGCCGCACGGGATGTCGTGACTTGATTTTATTTGCTACACACGTTACTTTTACGTGCGTAACACTGATGTAATATTTTTTCGTTAAACAAACCTTGGATCTCGAGGAAGGGGAAAAATATTACATCAGTACTACGCACGTAGAGTAACGTGCGTACCCAATAAAATCACGCCACGATACCCCGCGCGACGTAGAAAAAAAACGGCGCAGTAACACGGGGAATATTTCCCCCGTGTTATTCATGTGTTATTGTGTGTTATTCATGTGTTATTGTATCCTGGGAATATTCCTGGTGTTATAATAACACAATAACACAT